GTAATATGAAGAAATATCTAACTATTTTTTTTTCAGATGAAATTTTGTATAACATCACAATTGAATTCGTCTTACAATTTATTTATTTTATTTTACTCACTCGCTTCATCACCTATTCATTCATGCATTTATTTAATTTCATTTAGTTGTTGATAGTTAGAACAGTAATAAGTTTCATAAACCAAGTTGAATGATAAAACGATACACTTGATACTGATTGCTTGGTTACTGGATTGTTTCTTATTCTTCTACTTAGTTATGCATGTAATTCTGAAATATCCTCTTTTTCGTGAAATCTACATATCATATATAGAATTTTAATTATTTCATAAATTAATGTATTATGATTATACTGAATGAAAAGAATTGTATATTTCTGTTTGATAACAGGCCAGCCGTGAAACGCCTACAGAAGAACGGACTCCAACGCCAAGTAAGTATTCACAAACTGATGTGAAGGTGTCATGGTAAAGTGGTTCAGTCATTTGACTCTCAATCCTAATGTTCATGGTTTGAATCGCAGTCTGGCACCAATTTTCTTTGGCAAGATCAGCATTTGCAACTTCCTACCCCGTTTAATTGGGTACCTGGCGATCGCTAAAGTAATACTAATTGCAAGGCTCTCTGGCAAAATAGCACTGGATCTGACGAGGCTTCTCTTGGTAGACAAAATCATGATTATTATCATTATTATCCTTTATTATTTAACATAGAGCAAATCCAGATGAAACACTATTGGTTATGATAGTAGGCATACAGAAATTAGAAGCATTATAATTAAGAGCTAATAAATGTAACTATTATCATTTTATTAGTAGTATTATTATCATCATTGTTGTTGTAGTTGTTGCTGTTGTTATTTTGTGAGGATAGCCTGGCCTCATGCTCACGACACAGGCAATCCAGATTAGGAAATGTACAATACACATGCAAGCATTTGGGGGCAGTGGGCCAGTAAGCCGAGGTAGCGTTTCTACTTCGTCATTTTCGTCATTTTGTATTGTATCCTCGTTTACAGATATTGAGTTAAGATTTGTATAATTGTGTACAATAATATAATTTTTCTCATTATCAAAATGGGGCAAACACTAGGGCGGGATTGGGGCCATAAATGATACCTTTGGGGGCGCAGCATCCAAACCTCCTCGCCCCCTAAAAAAAAAAAAACACGAGTCTGCCGTTTTGTAAATATTGAAGGAATCCGTTGCATTGTAATTTAATTAGAAATAAATATGAAATTATCCAACAGGCTATATGAAATTTCAACTTAGCCTTTAATAAATCGTTAAGGTTTAGGGATATGCTATATGTATTTCCATGCCAAGTGTAGGTCTACGTAACCTTGTAGTGGGTTGGAAGGGGTTAGTCTTTACCTAGCATTGCATCTTTTAATGCTCGTCTTTTTAATGCTATTCTTATTCCAAACATAGGTGTCAGAGGTGAAACAACCGTTCCGACAAGGTCAACAAGTGTGAGTTATCCATAACGGGGTCATAGGACATACACACATTTACTGGGAAGAATATGATTATGTGTTATTCAAATAATTTACTAACTCATTCATTCCATTTTAGTCACTCCCTTAATCACTTATTCATTCAAGCATTCATTTATTGCAATGACGACCTTCGTCATTGCCTTGTTTTCGTTCACATTCTGCCCCATTAATATTCTCCTTTTCCTCCTTTTCCTTTTCCTTATCCTTATCGTCAGGAAATCGCATTCGTTTTGCACGTAATGTTTGTTATTCCTAGTTAGGTGCTTTTCTCATGTCCTTTTCCTTTCACATTTCATAGGCATAGTCTCTAACATCCCTTCAAGGTCACTACATTCTTCGATTTTCGAAATCACTCATGCATAACCGTCCAGGCGCCATTTTGTCCGTTTCTGGTCCATTTTAAGGCCTTTCTTTCTTCCTTCCTATCTCCACTATCCTAGATCCTACACATTTCTAACAAATTCCTCTAGATAGTCTAAGAGATGTTCTTTTATCTGCGACGTATAACCTGCCCTTCAAAATGCCATCTTCATACTCAAAATTCAAATCTGAAACCGACTCCGTCAACTATCTCTCAAATTCTTGAAAAATTGACACCTAAATAATCTAAAACTGCCATAACTTTCTCATATAAATTCCGTTTTGTATTTAAATCTCACAGTATCCTTATCTCATAATTGCACATAGCCATGCCAAATTTCACGCTCCAATGACTTTGCACAACATAAATAGCGCCCTCTAAAGTTCTGGGAATTGGCTTTCTCTCTGTGGCCGTATCTCCATAATGGCTTGGCAAACCCGTACCCTTTTTTGGATTTAGATACTTGAAGATATGCCCTTTCCAGCCATATACAAAATTATATACCCTATCACTGACCAAATTTGAGAAAATTGCCCTCCAAATTCGCCATTTTCAAGAAAATTCCAAAATAACTTCAACTTGCTCTAAAATTACGATCCTTTGACCTACGTCAATAAAACTTGGCACACACATGTATTTATATACGTGACAACTGTCCGCAAAGTTTGGTAAAATTTGATTATGTCAGCGCAAAGTTATCTAAAAAAATGATGTATTTACTATGCATTGCGTGATAGCGCGTTAAATGCGTGCAATACATTGCGCGAAGATAACAATGGTGTCAAACTGACCGCAATGAAGTGACCTTTCGAATGATACCAAGTATAGTATATGTTCACACAGAAAATTGTGAATAAATCGCATTTGAACAAAGATCACTACACGAATTCCGCCGAGTTTCCGCCCGAATCTAACACGTATCGGCTATGACGTCATTTTTTCAGACTGCTTTTCGCCCCTTAAACGTCCTTTTTTTTCCTTGAAAATTTGCAGTGACATGCCGAGTTCCAATACGCAGGGCACCTCATGGCCGGATTTTTAAAATTGGTCAATGTGGCTATTTAAGACGCCATTTTGTCCTATAAATCTATTTTACATCACGTGTTTCGATAGGATTATCATGGGAAAAAAGAGAGTGGTTTACAATAACATTCATGAAATTCTCTTTCTAATGATACCAAATACGGCTCATAAAGAGACATAAAGAGAGAGAGAAAAAACAATTTAACTCCGGTCATAATACAGATCCTGTACGTTTTCCGCTCATGCATTACACGCATTGTCTATGGGGCATATCGGGTTCACGCTTTTGACCCCCAGAACGATCTTTATTGCAATGACGAACATGCACCAAATCCCCTTGGTTTTTGCACGCAGTGCTTGCGAGCCCTTTCCACGTCCTTTCCCATATCCCAATTTCTTTCAAACTTCGTAGGCATAGTCACTACCATCCCATCAAGGTCACTGTTGAGGCCTTTCTTTCGCCCTACCTATCTCCAATATCACAGAAGCTACAGACTTCGTACAAATTGCTCTGGATAGGGCGAGAGAAGCTCTTTCGTTTGGCACGTAGAAACATGGCGTCATTGCACGCACATCGTTGTGACACGATTGCATTTCTAGTTTCCTTTTTATATATTTGTGCAATGTAATTTTGACATAGATTTTTCTTTTTCTCACTTACAAATAAAAGTATTAAACATCGATTATTGCTAGGTAACCGGGTCGTTTCATATTTTCATAGACGTATGTAATTCTATATTACCCCGTTTTCATGAAATAAAGTATTCACGATAACATAATGAAAGTTATTTCATGAAATAACCTGTTATTATTATACTGACGGGAGAGAGTGGTACATTTCTGTTTGATAACAGGGCACTCCTGAAACACCTACAGAAAAACGGACTCCTACGCCAGGTAATATTCACAAAATAATGTAGAGGTGTCATGGTAAAGTGGTTCATTCACTTGGCTCTCACTCCTTATGTTTAGGGTTCGAATCCCAGACCGGCACCAATGTCCTTTGACAAGACATAAACGCACATTCGCCACTTCCAACCCAGCTGTAAATGGGTACCTGGCAATTCATAGTGTAATAATAATTGCAGGGCCCTCTGGCAAAACAGCACTGAAGCTGATGAGGCTTTTCCTGTAAACAAAATTATGATTATTATCATTATTATCACGTATTATTTAAGATCAGACAAACCAGAAAAACAATATTGATTAATAGAGTAGGCATACAGAAATTAGAAACATTATGATTAAAAGCTAAATAAATGTAACTATTATCATTTTATTAGTAGTAGTAGTATTATTATCATTGTTGTTGTTGTTGTTGTTATTATTGTGATTTTGTGTGGATTGCCTGGCCTCATGCTCACGACACTGGCAACCCAGAGAAGGAAATGTATAATAAACATACAAGTATTTGATGCAGTGGGCCAGTAAGCCGAGGTAGCTTTTCTACTTAGGCGAGGCGTCAAAAATATCGATACCAGCAGGCTGCCGCCTCACGTATTGGCGCATCGAGGCTGCAATTACGGCCGAAGCCTGGCTGGGGCAATTATTTTTCACTTATTAGCCTGAGGCTCGGTTTCCTTTCGAAAGGCGGCAGCCGGCGCATGCTTTTGTTCGGAGACCATTATGATGACATCATGAGTTAATTGAGGGTCCTACCGCCAGCGGTAGCCGGCTGAGCTAATTTAAAAAATGCAGCCAGGACGCACAAGTGCAGTTAGCTGCCGCTGGCTGGTATATTTATTTTTGACGCCTCGCCTTAGGACATTTTCGTCATTTTGTATCGTATCCTCGTTTACAGATATTGAGTTAAGATTTTGATATAATTTGGTGTAATAATTGAATGTTTTATCATTATCAAAATGGGGCAAACACTAGGGCGGGATTGGGACCAGAAAAAATACATTTGGGGGCGCCGCATTCAAACTTCCTTGCCCCCTGAAGATACACGAGTCTGCCGTTGTGTTAATATTGAAGGAATCCGTTGCCGTTATCCAAAAGGCTACATGAAATTTCAACTTACCCTTTAATAAATCGGTCAGGTATAGAGATGTGCTATATGTATTTCCATGTCAAGTGTAGGTCTACGTAACCTTGTAGTGGGTTGGAAGGGGTTAGTCTTTACCTAGCATTGCATCTTTTAATGCTCGTCTTTTTAATGCTATTCTTATTCCAAACATAGGTGTCAGAGGTGAAACAACCGTGCCGACAAGGTCAACAAGTGTGAGTTATCCAATAACGGGGTCATGGGACGTACACACATTTACTGGGAAGAATATAATTCGGTGTTATTTAAATAACTAACTCATTTATTTTATAGATAATTTTTTCATAACATGATGAAATGATTTAACGTTCAAATTACAATTCATTCATTCTATTTTACTCACTCGCTTAATCACTTATCCAATCATTCATTTAGTTCATTTTATATATTTGTGCAATGTACTTTTGACATAGATTTTTCTGTTTCTTACTTACAAATGAAAGTATCAAACATCGATTATGAGTGAGAATAGAAATAGGTTTCATATCACGATACACATCTATCATTGCTAGGTAACTGGGTCGTTTCATATTTTTCTACTAAGTTACGAATGTAATTCTATATTATCCCGTTTTCATGAAATATACGTATCACAATAAAATGATTAAAGTTATGTCATGAAATAATCTATCATGATTATACTGACAGGAAAGAATGGTACATTTCTTTTTGATATCAGGCCACTCCTGAAACGCCTACAGAAGATCGGACTCCAACGCCAGGTAAGTATTCACAAAATTATGTGGAGCTGCCATGGTAAAGTGGTTCATTCACTGGAATCTTAATCCGAATGTTTAGGGTTCATATCTCAGCCCAGATTACAGATGTTGAGTTAGTTTTGTTCAATAATAAATACTTGTCTCATTATTGATATGAACGATGGCGGGGGGAGGGAGACAGCACGGGGGATGCTTGACTAATATTTGTTTGCGTCTGCAGCATCCAAAGCCCCTCACCCCCCCCTCCCCGACACAAATAAACAAAAAACGATTCTATCGTATGAAAAATTAAAGGCATCCGTTGCCTTGTAATGTAATTCGATATAGGTATTGTACTTTAGTTATTGTACCAATGGACTTGCGTAAACATTCTTTTAAAATCATTAGAAATGAAGAAAACAATAAAACAATGAACATAAAGAGAGAGAGAGAGAGAGAGAGAGAGAGAGGTGAACAAAAAACTCAAACTGTTGCTTTAGACAGTGTGTGGTGTCAACGATCTTTCAGGAGAAATATTATTCGACAGGCCACATGAAATTTCAACTTGGCCTTTAAAAAAATCAGTCAGGTGTAGTCTTATGCTACATGTATTTTTATGTCAAGTGTATGCCTACGTAATCTTTAAGTGGGTTGGAAGGGTACAATCTTTGCCCAGCATCGCATCTTTAAACTTTATATTAATTCATAACACGTTCACAAAGACTTCCTAGAAATAAATTCAAAGGCAATTAAAATACACTATTTCATATATCCCAAAGAAATCATGTTTGGAATAGGAAATACGTCGCTGCAATGCTCGCATATTTTAAAAGGTGATGACCAAGGCTATTGAACTTGATTAAGGTTCATTCTTTGAAAGCCTTTGCGATCGTCTTTGATATAGACCTACGTTAATAGGTATCGTCAAACGTCACATCAAATGTTTATTTCGGTTATTTTCCACAGATTTTACCACAATTCACCAGGCATTGCCTACAACACCATCACAAGCAGACATAGTCCACCAGAAGACCTCCCTCTTCAAACGGATCGAGGGACGGCGCCTTCGAAATCACGTGATTAAAACCAAACATGGATTGTCATTGGTCAAATGCGGTGCCGAGTGTAACAAGCGAGATGACTGCGTGTCATTTAACATCGGCAACGGTGTGTGTGAGCTCAACAACCAAGTGGTAGGTGGTACCGGTGTCGACTTGGTTGAAGACGAGGGATTTAAATATTATGAGAAACAATAGGCTTTGAGTCGAAGTTTGTCTTGGTGGTATTAACCATCATGATAATGGTTTGCGTAAACACGTGATTTACGTTAAGGATGTATATAGATATCAATTCTTCTTCTTCATATATCGATGTCTTGAAATACCAATTAAGACCATAATTATTAACAGAGATTTTTTCGATCAAGATGTTGATTTAATTCTTTTCATGTTTAAAATGATAGTTTAGAAGTAGAAAATGACACCAACTTGTAATTGTATTGTACATGTGCATATAGATTTAATTTTGAAAATGATAGATATCTGTTTAACCAGAAAAAAAAGTTAAAATCGCCAACACATGAAAGAATTTGTTTTGTCATGATTTAGAGTACATGACTGTATGTAAATAATTCTTTATTTGATTGTGTGAATTCTATATCCAATACATTGTAAATATTGAAAAATTAATTATTTAAAACACGCCTTTCATGTCTTATTACTGCCATTATGTAATGTAACTTTATTAAGACAAAATACACTTCAACATTTATAAATAATGAAGAGACAGTTAACACGAAACCGTTTAACTCGACTTATTAATTATTAGGTTTCTGAATCATCTTTTGAACGAAGGCCTACGTTTTCATAAATTTCAACATAACGGTATTAATCAGATAAAGTCTACACAAACACGTCTACGCACACCCACCCCACAAACGCAACGAAAATACTGAAGATTGGATTATGATGTTCTCATCTTCATGCCTTTACTGTTGGGGCACTATAAATAGGTTTTGATTTCTATGGGTAAACCTTAATAATAAATGCTGAAAATAGGACCTATGGTTTATCTGAACCAAATAATATTCCGTGGGACTTGGTCTTAGCTAAATGATGTTAGATAAATGATCAATATCTGTTTAACCAGACAAATACTGTCCAGTCTTTAAAGTAATTGTTTAGTCATGTTAAGAGTACATGACTGTATGTAAATAATTCTGTATTTGATTGTGTAAATTCTATATCCATTACATGGTTAAAAGTCAAATGATTTATAACACGCCTTTTGGGGTCAGACTATTGCCATTATGTAATGGAGCGTTATAAAAGAAAAATACACTTCGTCATTTATAAGTGTAGCAATGAAGGGAAAATTAACGCGAAAAGGTTTGCCTTGACTTATTAATTATTAGGTTTCTGAATCATCTTTTGAACGAAGGCCTACATTTTCATGAATTTCAACATAATGGTATTAATTTGATAAAGTCAACGCAAACACACCCCACATACAAACACAAAGAAAATACTGAAGATTGGATTATGATGTTCTCAATCTTCATGCCTTTACTGTTGGGGCATCATAAAAAGAATTTTATTTCTACGGGTAAACCTTGATTAATAAATGCTGAAAATAGGACCTATGGTTTATCTGAACCAAATAATATTCCGTAGGACTTGGTCTTAGCTATACAAGGATACGTATCATTTCTCTTTTCTTAATTGGTTTCCTTGCAATTATTCTTTCTTTCCACACAAGTAGTGCTAAAATAAGCACGGGTCCTTTTTTTATTTAATTTGTATATATTTGGTTATGCTGAGGAAAGCGAAGAACTATTCCCTTTTTTCTCTCAATTGTTTACGCTATGTTTAGTGAAATGTGATTTAAAGACTACCCTCGTATATTCATATGCTTTTGTAAATATCTTATATTTATTCAGATATCCTAATTTAATAAAAGAACCTATTAACTGGGACCTACATAATACAAGCTTTGCTTTTTAGTAGATCGCCCACTTTATTTAGCTTTTTTTTTCTTCAATGTATTTATCATACTTATTATTGTATCTTTTGTTAAAACTATTACAATGTACATTATGTTTCTATATTGTATATTTAGTTATAATTATTACCATATTCATTGTGTTCAATTATGTTTTCTTCGATAAAGTGGAAATAAATAAACTTGAAACTTGAAACATCTTTGTTCTAATATATCGGCTTCGTACATAGTATTTCCCCGGTCGTAAAAGTTGGACGCAATATCAATTCGACGTTTTGTAATGTTTTAAATGACTAATCTGTTGGCCTACAGGATTATTTATCTCATGTGATCGGAAAGGCACAGCGACTTGATATAAGGCCGGTGTCGGCGCGACTTAAATCACTTCATTAGATTTGTGTGTTCATCAGAATTTTTTTTGTTTGAAATATTTTGTTAGTTGATCTTCCGACTTTTGCAGTGTTGAGCTAGAATATGATTTAATTTATTGTAAATTTAAATCCATTTTGATGACTCATCTTAAACCTAGGCCCATCACTGTCAGTGATGGACACACATTCAAAGTCCATGATTGACTTGTTAATCATTTTCTATCTTCTATACTGGTTTTAAGTACAAGTCTAGCTATCCCCTCTCATTTCATTTTTCTCCTATCTTTCCTTGTGTTATTCTTTCTTTTCAATTGTTATCATTCTACAATTTTACACTTTTTTTAGTTTCCCTCTTTTTTCTCCTTTAGGCCTAACTGCATCATTTACATATTAGCTGCGTCGTCACCATTAAGTCTAAACGTATTTTAATTGCTCCACTCCTTTTTGGATATTTCATCGCTCCCAAAACCCCTGATCACATATTAAGTATAGAGAAAGATCGATTTCAACCTCACGCATTATTATTAATAAAAAGCCCGATATGTCCCCGGGTGTGAGTTCGGACCACAATTCAACCATCACTCTAGAGGATAATCTTTTGTACATTAGATGGTCATAGTTTGACTGGAAAAAAAATTGCGATTTTCAGTCATGGGTAAAAAGAAAGAAATTATCATGTTTTTATAATTTATTTTGTAATACGTTGCAAATCATGATACAATACATTCACTAGAAAGAAAGAAATAGGACTTAGAATTTGCCTATGCTTTGTTTTAAAAATTGGGAAAAAGTAATGTTGCAAATGCATAAGATTGAAATTGTAGTACATGTACTTTCAAGTAGCAGATGAGGCTATTTGAGCTTAATATCTGACCTTCAATGTTATAATCTGTAACCATGGTGAATTGTAATATTTTGTTGTTTGAAGAAAAAGAAATAAATTTAACATAATTCATATAATCTTATATATAATATTCTATTCATATCTTTTGATTTTTAATGTGCATACCGTTGGATGAATTGAATTACAAGTGGAAAAAGTCTGGAAATAGAACGTGAGAGAACAGAGAGATAGAGAGAAAGAGATCGCGCGAAAAAGACAGGGAAAGCTAGAAGTGAGAACTATTTAATAGTGAGAGATGTTGATGTCATGAAAATGAGACATATATAACGGTGTGGGATGCTGTGTGTGTGTGGGTGTGTCCCTGTGTGTATGTGCGTGTGTGTGTGTGTGTGTGTGTGTGTGAGAGAGAGAGAGAGAGAGAGAGAGAGAGAGGAGGGGAGGGGGAGATGGAGATAGGGAGAAAATGTGAAAGCAGTTGCAAATATCATGTTCAAATATGTATTACAAATAGTTGGAGCATGTGGAGGTGGGGGGGGGGGGGGGGTACCACCATCATATTCCCTGAATCGTTTCATGTGAACTGCCCCTCTAACTGACAGGGTTTGGAAGAGCTGATATAACTACGCTTGTTTGGGTTCTCAAAAGATAGAGGGGAGGGGGTGTCAAACTTTAAATCTGAAATTAGATGAACACCCCTCCCCTCGAACACACACGCACACAAAATGTGAGAATGATACATTTCAAATTTCATTCCAATTTTCCCACATAGATTATATCTGTGTTTCTCTCCCCCCCCCCCCCCACTCCCCTCTACGATTATGCCTCTAATATTCCCACCCCTTTCTACTTTTTCCTATTTTTTCAGCTTGGGCCATCATGGACTGATTATACAGATAAAATTTGATCATATCGATCCATTTAAAGATTACTTACTGTAAATTTATAAGTCTTTTCTTGTTCTTGATGGTGATAGAAACAATAACAAAAAATGTATTAAACACGCAATACATCAATATCCGTATGACACCAACCATTCCAACCTTCCAAAATAATCAGCAATTATGACAGTTGTAATTATTTTTGGTTGGAAAAGGCCACATTGCCATGACACTTTTGTGGACCTATAGCTAGTGTTTTGAAGAAACTATTGATATGTGTTTTTCCCAGTGTTGATAAAAATTAAAAAGCTTGAATAAGTTTGACTTGATTATTTTTCTCTCCAACAGTACGAAGCTGTATACGTAATCAGTGAAAATCATATTGGGCCCTCATTATAATAAAGGATTTAGAGGACACTTAATCGCCAATATTGGTGCACCGTGATTAGCCAAGTGATTAATACATTAACATACATGAATAAGTAAAGCAAACATGGCGGAGCTTGAGGGACCTGGGGGTGTTTCACAAAGATCCTAAATTGAACTTATCTCTAAGTTGAACTTAACAATATGGAAAGCCGTTGGCATCTAGGAAAATATTTTGTAAAATTTATTTTAAAAGGCAATAAAATGTTGATTCAAATCATTCATATTTTCTATTATCAAGGAGATTTCATGTTCTTGATTTGATTCTTTTAAGGCTACAAATGGCTCTCAATAATTTGTAAGTCCAACTTAGAGTTAAGTTCGATTTAGGATCTTTGTGAAACACCCCCCAGGTGTCGTGTAGCTACGCACGAGAGTAGATGGGCAACCGAGAGTGGCAACCACACACTGACTGCATTGCGTAACCTCCCCCACACTACCCAATAAGCCACCCCCCCCCCTTTATATGGCGACT